GTTGGTTTTCTTTATGTTGTTGTTGTTAAGTGCCATCGAGTCGGGTCCGACCCATAACGACCCTGTACAGGATTTCCAAGGGTGTAATGTCATCAGGTTTAGAAGTTCATTTATGTCATATTAAGCTAGTGGTCCTCAAAGTAGGAGGGGGTTGTACACCCCAGGAAATACTAAGTTGTTTTTTTTTGATATATAGGAAGAAGATACTAACATTTCTGTTTTCTATTGCTTTTTATTGTTGTTAACTTGTTAAGCGCGGTCGAGTTGATTCCTACTCACAGTGATCCTCTCTAGGGTTTCCGAGGCTTTCAACCATTGCAGGAGCAGAAAGCCTCATTTTTCTTTCACCAGAGGATGGTGAACTCAAACTGCGGACTTTGTAGATTGAAGTCCAGCGCTTATTTTATTGTTTAATTTCTAATTTTGTTTCTAAGACATACGTATATACAGACCCACTCAAAATACATTTACTCACATATATACACACGTAGGCAAGCATGGTAGCTCCATACGATAAGCACTAGACCTATGAACTACAAGGTCTGTGGTTTGAGTTCACCAGCTGCTCCATGGGAGAAAGATGAGGTTTTCTGCTCCCGCAAAGATTTAAAGCCTTGAAAATGATACAAGGTCCCTATGAGTCGGAACCCACTCCATGGCACTTAACAACAGTGATATTCACACATATGCACACATGTAAACACACATACAATGAGGTTATATACTTTCTACTTTTTACGGGCCTGTATGATCAGAAAAGTTGGAGATCACTGTATTGTCATCGATGCAAAAACCTTTCCAAGGGCTAGAAAATCTTTTAAAATTCTACCTCATTTAATAGCAGTTTGAAAGAAACACTTTAATAAAATAGAAGTTATCGGTTGTAATTCCTGTTTAATAATGAATGTACACTTGTGGTACTTTAAATGGATTATTTTACACTGAAGCAGTTATCAGGAGGAACCAGTCCTCGAGGAGAAGGACATTGTGCTTGGGAAAGTGGAGGGTCAGCGAGAAAGAGGAAGACCCCCAACGAGATAGATTAGCACAGTGGCAGCAACAATGGACTCAAACGTAACAATTGTGAGGAGGGCGCAGTGTTTCATTCTGTTGTCTGTACGGTTGCTGTGAGTCAAAACTGACTCGATGGCACCTAATGACAACAGCTTTCAAAGACCAATGAATGTCAAGTTTTCTCCTAGCGAATTCCATACGTATCTTTGCTTTACCCAGCCCCTTCTGGGATAGCTTCCTTTTCAATTGGCCCCAAAGTCCATATGGTAAGGGGGCTTATTTGGCACTAGGTATCTCACACACGCCTTCCTGGTGCTATTATTTAGCGCAATACTGACATCTTGAGTCAACTGTGGCCTTTTTTGTTCTGAGGTTTTCTCTGTTTACTCTTTAGTCCAGGTCTGCTTTGGGTTTTCTATATTTTAACTCTTCTCACTCAGTTCTCGATCCCATTATAGGCTCGCTTTTGGTTGTTGATGGCGTGATGTGAGTTATTTCGCAAACCTTGTCAGGAAATTGTGCACTGTATGTGGTTGCCTCACTGTAGTCTCACAAGAAATGATTTTCACTCTGATGTAATTGGCACTTAAATCAGTCCTTCCTCCATCCTCCCCTCACTCCTTCCTTTTTTCCTGTTTCCACCCAGCTGAGTCCAGTTGTCCCTCTCCTTTCACAGCCCATAAAGACAAGTTCTTCACTCTGGATCGAAGCCCACGTTGTCATGTCAAATCTTCTTCAGGTTCCTAGGCAGCACTCACCTCACGTGTTGAATGAAACAGAGGGCATGTGTTACGACAGTGGAAGTTTTTGAAGATGTTAGGCTGCTTTGATTTTTCTCTAGTAAATTCAGGAAGTGTTTTTCCGTTGTATTTTGTTTGTTGTGATCTATTTGAATAATTATTATTAGTTCTTGTTTTCTTATACTCTGGCACCTTTTTCCACAGCCACTAGTCTACAAGTCCTGTTAGTTGTATGTCCATGAACATTACCATAGCGTCTCAGGTCGGGTTTTCGGTAACTTAATTGAAAATGACAACATTTCTATGGTCTTCCATAATTGGAAAGCACGCTTCTGTCTTCATTCAGTGTTGCTGTCTTTCTCCTGTAAGGATAAGCACAAGCCTTGTAAAGTGCTGTAGCCTCGTAGCACCATGCTCCAAGCCACATATAAAGAACCACATAGAAAGCATTCTGGGCCCAGTAAACTTAGTGACCAGGTCGCCACTTTCTGTGTATTTAGTGTAGAATGGGAAAACTGAAAAAGCACCATTCTTGTTCTGAGATCCTTGTCAAAGCAGGTCTGTGATCATTTTACTTCTTGGCCTGTCTTTAGGCCACTTATCTTTGCCTCTGTGCTGAAGAAAGATACTCTAATAGAAAAAAAGGTATGATGGGCATTGATTAGTTCTCTCAGCGTGCATCTTAATGTGGTTAGGCCATTTTCTTTGTATTTGTAGATACATTGGAGGATAAAATGACTACTTGGATAATATTCTCTCCTGGGTGAAAATTCTTCCTAAAAGTTAGATTAGAAAAAAAAAAAAAAAGGCAAAGAAAAGGTTCCATAAAGAATCTGTCATTTGCCCTTTGGTGACTTTGAAGAAGAAAATACATTGACTAGCATATATGTTCATTATTTTCTATATATTTTATTTTAAATCTGAGCAGTCTGATTATGCATAATAGAAACACTATCTATTCTACATGTAAAAACATGTTGATACAGATCGTTAAAGGAAACTGTCAGAATAGTGTATTATAGATTATGCATTTAGAAATAATGGCTATTATATTTAAAAATTTTTTCATGTTGAAAAAATAGTAAGTATTTGTTTTCTATCGTTCCAATGCCAAACACTGAAGAAACAAACACTCACTTCCTATCACCATTAGCTGGGTCTTTTCTAATGGGAATTATTTATCCTTTATCAGAAGCAAGTGCTATTTCAGTCTAATCTGATCTACACATTTGTCACATGTACTGAATGCTTATTGCTGGATGCAAAATACTGCACATAGTAATCCACAAAGACATCATCCTCATGCCTGTTGAAAGCATTGTCTGTATCTAGTATGTTTCTCGAGGTTTCCATACCACTGTGTCTTTTTCTAGTCAGACATCTGCATTGCTTTGTTTGTTTTTATACTCACGGACTACTGTCTTGCTTCCAAATGTCCCTTACGGTAGAGTTCTTGGGCAATGTCCTGAAAAACCCGCCGAGCACTCTTCTGTGAATGAGAATGAGAACACAAGCTCTCTTTAAGGCCTAGATGCAGTGATTGTTCTATATTATCTCAGCTTGCTCTCTCTTTACCGCCTCAGAAAGGAATCCCCCACCTCCAGCTACACCGACAGTCAACTCTTGGTTTTTCTAAAGTATACTCATTTCTTTATGAGTGATCATTGCCTAATTTAAATCCCAGTTTTCCACTTGAAGGTTGTTGAGTTTTTTAACAATTGGAACCATTGCTAGCTATTGGTTGAAAGGTACCATGATGTTCTTTGTTTCTTAAAAGATTTCTGCTTGCAGTTGTTATAACCAGATATAATTTTTAAAATATTTTAACAGGCATTGGTCTGTACCTTTTTTGAGTCTTCCTCTGTTTCTGTGGTCCTTAAAGTGTTGTTAGATTTTGACTGTCAAGAAAAGAAGTCTTATCATTTTATGCACTCAAAACAATTGTGACAGATATATCTTAGTAAGAGAAAATAAAATTGTTAGATGGCTTATGGTAAGAGTTAATACTTGTCATATTTCTGAGATGCTTTTAGTCCATTAATCAAAGAATGTAACAATCAACCTGATGTGGATTATAGGATTGACAGTATTTCTAATAGAACACATGCATGTCTTCTCTTAAAGAATGTGTATTGCCCGGAGATACTCTTTTCAGTAAGTTGCGGCCTTTTTGAGTACCTCAAGGTAGTCTCTAATCTCTTTGTCAAACCCTTTTTTCCTATTAAAGACTATTCATAGGGCTCTCATAGTAACACATAAACTCCCTGTCCCCAGCAGAGTGTTAACATGTAATATGTTTTATATGTATAAAGTCTCTTTATATATAGTCTTGCTTTTAAAAGAGAAAGCATTACAACTCCTGTGCTCTGCTTACTAATTATTTCTCTGAACGCTGTTTGCTTTCTTCTCTAGACCTCTTCTGCAGGCGGTGTCCCCTGCAGGTGCAAAGGCAAATGCTAATTAGAATTAGGGAGCTCTTCTCGGGAGGCTCACAACAGGTGGAGAGAGAAAAGTTACTTCATTATGAGACTATTCAAGGCTACTGGTCAGCTAGCACCAGGGACTTGACTTACTATGGAGATGTAGATGAAGGTCCCAAGCACACCAATGACATAGATGGAGAGCAGCAGTAAGACCAGGATCAGGATGTTCCGGAGCTGGATGCTGAGAAGCTCAGTTTCTTTATGAATTGCAAAAGCAGAAAGAGCCATGGTCATTATTCAGACATACTCTTTGAACAGATAAATGTTCAAATAGATTTACAGTTACAACTACGTGTTGGAGGTGAAACATGAACTTACTCTACTTCACTGTCATATTGATTCAGAAGACACTCAGATAAAAGACTAAATCAAAAAGCATTATTGTGGTTGTTACGAAGTACTGTCAAGTTGGTTAGGTTCTGACCCATAGCAATCCTGTGTGGGGTTTCCAAGGAATGGCTGGTGAGCTTGAACCGCTGACCTTGCAGTTCAAACTGACATCTCAGTCTAGCACATTAACCCACAGCGCCGCACCAGGACTCTTATGTGCCACTGAAGCATAGAGACCTTCATTCAACAAAAGTATCAAAATAGGAAGCTGGTATTTCTTGACCTATCTCCCCAACGAGATGGATTGTCCAGGTGGCAGCATCCATGGTCTCAAGCGTGGCAGCAATAGTGAGGTTGGCCCAGGATCGGGCAGTGTTTCATTCTGCTGTGCATAAGGTCGCTATGAGTTGGTACCGACTCGATGGCACCTAACGACAACAGTAATCCTTCCATGAGAACACGGTGGCTCTGAGATATTATAGGATAAGCACTGGGCTGTAAACCACAAGGTTGGGGGCTTGAGCCTACCAGCTGCTGTGTGGGAGCAAGATGAGACTTTCTGCTTCTGCAAAGATTTACGGCCTCAGAAACCCTGTACTGGATCACTGCGAATTGGAATCGACTCGATGACACTTAACAGTAATCTGTACTACAAAAGTACAAGAATTCTATACTTTTCGATTTACACCACATCAAAACAGCAGCTTTTGACGTCCCAGAGGGACTCAACTCCTCTTCGATTGAAATGTTCTTTTGAATCTGGGGAACAAAACGAAGTCTGAAGGGGCAAGATTGAGACTGTAGCATGGATGGAACAAGGCTGTCCAGTGAAATTCTTGTAGGAATTTGCTACCCTTAAAGAATGAGCAGGTACATTGTTGTTACGGAAAAAAATTCCTTGGTGCGTTGGCCTTTTTTTCACCATTGCAGTTTCAGTGGTCTTAAAACTTATTTGTAATAAGCTCCTATCCTGTCTCCTTCAAGAATATTCTATCTAGGTGACCCCTTGAGGATCCTCAAAAACAAGTCACCTTCGCCTTCAGTTCTGACCTCTCTTCTTTAAGTGGTCCAGCTGGGTCCCTTGGGAGCTACTGTTTTAATTGGACCTTTTTCTTTTTGAAGGCACCCTAATAAGGAGCTCTGGTAGCATAGTGATTATGAATCGGGCTGCTCACCTCAGGGTCAGCAGTTCGAAACTACCAGCTGTTCTGTGGGAGAAAGATGAGGCTTTCTGCTCCCGTAAAGATTTACAGCCTCGGAAACCCTGTACAGGGTCACTATGAGTTGGAACCGACTCCACGGCACCTAACAACAACAACAACAATAAGGCTAAGACAAGTGTTTGTATTACTGAGAGAACGTGTCTGCAGCGCTCCATGGATAACAGAGACATGTTTAAATACGTTTTGTTTGGAATAAACGTGTACACACGTGACTGAACCATAATACCAATGTTTTGATACTTACCCTTAGATATGATAGCTAAAACCAGTCTTATCAGCTCTCGAAATGAATTATCCCAAAAGTGTAGCTCATTTTTAAGAAGAAAGTTTTTTTAAAAACCAGTGATCTATTTGTCATCTTGCTAAGAGTCACTGTTTTTATGGAAAGCGTTACTTAAGGTTGTTGTTGTTGTTAAGTGTTAAACAGAATGTTTAACAACAGTGTTAAGAGAAACATTTAAAGACAGTTTGTCCCAAGCGTGTTTAGTGTTTGTGTCAGTAGAAATGTTGTGTGCCAGTGTCACCAGGAGGCTGTTTCTGGGGTTACACTCTCTCCGGATGTGTTTGTTAGCAGAATGCTGACATTTGTGGATGTGGAACTGCATAGTGTACACAGCAGAACAGAGTCTGTGTTTGCTGCACATGGATGTGACAAGACATTGGTACAAATACACTTTCTTCCTTGTAGTAAAGTTCTGGAAATACAACTTGGATCAATTTCATTTTCACATTCTTCAGTTTTGAAGGAAGAGCCCTGTGACCAGAGTCGGGACCAATGAACATACCATACCTTAAAGTCCCTGTTTCTTTGATTTATAAAATATAATTGTTGTTGTTTGTGGTTAAGTGCCTTTGAGTCGATTCCTCCCGATTCGTAGCTACCCGTATAGGGTTTCGGAGGTTGTGTGTATCTTTTCGGGAGCTGAAGGCCTCATCTTTCACCTGTGGAGCAGCTGGTGGGCTCAAACTGCCCACCTTGTGGTTCACAGTCCAGTGCTTATCATACAAAGCCACTGTGCTCTCAAAATACGATTAGATGTTTGATTATTTGTCTGAGTGACCTGTACTTTTCAGTTAAATATCCCATAGATGCTTATCCCACGAGTACAGTGTAATACAGTGCCCAATTGTAAGTTGTGAAACTAAGAAGCTAGCCTCTCTATAAAACTGGAAGTCTCATGTGCTATGGAGAAAAGGTAGAACGTTGCCAGGTCTGTCTTAGCAGTAGCGTCAGTTCTGTTCCTAGAGAGGAAACATCTTTTATGTAAGTTTGCCGATTTGAGATCTTCATCTCTTTAGAAGCCATTTTTCTTCTAGATAAACTTTAAAATAATTTTAAATAGAAGACTAATACCCCAAGACAAATCTGCAGAGTTGTATCATGTTTGCAGTCAGGCCTGTCCCCTTAACACCAACTAGTTGCTGTTCAATTGACTGTGGTTCCTGGTTGACCACCGTGTGTGTCAGAGTAGAACTGTGCTTCAGAAGGTTTTCTGTGCCTGTGACCTTTCAGAAGATGATCTCCAAGCCTTTCTTCTTGGGTTCCTCTGTGTAGATTCCACCCTCCAAATGTTTGATTAGAAGCACTTAGCTGTACGTGCCATCCAAGGACTCCAACCACTATTTTAAAAGTACTTTATATGTATTAACTTATTTGTAATTTATTTATAGATTAGAGGAAATTAAGACAAGTTAAACAGTGTTCACATGTAGCACTGTAGGATAAGCACTGAACTGCTAACCAGTTGGCGATATAAATTCACCAGCCATTCCTCGGAACCCTATACTGGGTCGCTCGATGTCAGAAGTGACTGCACAGCACTTACCAACAACAGTAATTGATAGAACAACACTAATAGTGAACAGCAGGGCCTATAGCTCTAATACAGAGATCCAAGTAAGATGTGTTACTGCCCTTCCCATCCTTCCCCAGAATCACGTGAAGCTTGTCTTCTGAAACGCCTTCATCTCAGAATGCTTTTAGGAATGACTTGTGTCTTGACTGGTAGGACTTAGCTAGAATCTTCTCCTCCACCACTTTTTGTTGTCCTCACTTGAAAGAGAACATAATTTTGGGTTTTAATGAATCCAGAAAGTCAGATCCAAACCGACCCTTTTCTATTCCCTGCTGTCCAGACAGAACGGCAAGGGTCAGGGACCCTCCAGTGACTGGCTTCTCTCCAAGTTTGTGTTTATTCTCCGTAATTCACATCTTTTCTGGATTCAGTTCATCGGTGGCTTCTCCAGGGCTTTTCTCTAGGGACTATAGTGCCAGGTCAGTTCCCGAGACAGTGGGTAGTGCATCCTTGCAGAGTTCCCATGGACTTCACATTCATTCCACCAATCACTGTAGTACATGTAGTCAGGGCTGCACGATTACGTCTCACTAGTAAAGCCTGGATGTTGACAGAGACTGAGAGTATCGCGTCCAACACGACACTGATTTTATATCTGAGGAGGCAGAAGATGAATGTGGGGTGGGGAAATGGGCTCAGAGGAGGAGCAGTTCCTTAGTCCAAACCTCATGGTGACCTGTGCTCTGGTTATTAGGATATTAGGTCAGCAAATTTGTATCATAATCTTTGCATGTAAGTGATGAAATAAATATACATGTCTGAGCAAAATGTGTTGCGCCACAATAAAGCTTTAACAACTAACCTCTTACCACCAATGTGGTGCCTTGTCCAGTTTGCTTAGCTTCTGGTTCCGTGGAACTTAGAAATGCTATGCCACAGATGTAAATCGCACTGTCGTTTTGAGTGAGTCTGTTGATAGTGAGGGAAACTTGGTTCTCTGCTGGGGACCCCGTCACTGTGAACTTGTCTCCCTCACCCTGGCATCCATTCCAGCATAGCTTCTCCGACAGGTGGGCACCGTAGCGGAACCACAGACTGCTTGGTGTCTCTGTAGGACACCCGGTAGGGTGGAAGGTGCAGTTGATGGTAATGGCCTTGTAAGTGTAGTCCACTTCGAGGTAGGATGGCTGTGTGACCGAGACAGTACAAGTCCTCACGGCACCTGTGAGGAGAAGCAGATGGGCAGCCTTGAGCTGGCTCCACACCTCACTCTGCCTACGTTTCTATTTTACGTACATTTTTTTTGGCCAGGGATCCCAGTCACCTCTTTCTTTTTCTTAGCTTACTTGCAGCACCAACAAGGACTTTAAAACTAGACACCAGTGGTTCTCCTAATTGCTACCTCAGTCCCTTCTGCTGGTTTGCTGTTTGCTGACCAGGAGGTGGCCCTAGCATACGTCCAGTGGAAGCCAACCAGGAGCAAGAGTTTGGGGTCCTCATGTGTACTCTTGCTACTTAAAAGCTTTCCTTCGATCCTGTATGCATCATGTAATCTCCCAGAGGCAGGGAGGCCCTGTGGTGATGGGTGTCCAAGCTCGGGGTGCAAATGCAGCTGCCTTTGAGAGAGCACATGAGCAGTAGGGGATTTTTTTTTGCCCTGTGGGGGTTGGGAGCACCAGGAATTCATAGCAGTTCACAATGGGTTCTTTATAAGCCCAATGGCCCTACTGGAAACCTAAGAGCAAGATGTGCACCTGTGGAAATACCATCCTGCCTCGCCACAGCAGCTTTGATTGTGAAGGAAGGAGCCACGCTGTGCTAAGCACATTTTCTTTTTGCCTGGCACTTGGATCCTACTTTGCAGTCCTTTGTAACTTTGATTAACAGTAATGTGATAAGAGCACCGGCTTGTGTGTGAATCGTAGCTCTGCCAGCTCCTGGCCTTGTGATCTTAACTTCTCTGTGTCTTAAGTTTCCCCATTAGCACAGTACAGATCATATTACCCACTTGATGCTGCAGCGGTGGCAGAAGCAGACTGCACTCAGCCGCTAATCTAAAGGTTAGCTGTTCGAACCCAGCCAGTGGCATTGCAGAAGAAAGGTCTGGCAGTCTGCATGCCTAAAGACTGTGGCCAAGAGAAGTCTATGGAGCAGTTCTAGCCTGTAACAAATGACCCTGTGAGTCTGGGCTTTAATGAAGCCATAGGAAGCATTGAACCAAAGGCAGCGGTTTCAGAATTCTGCAGGTGCCACCACCCCTCCTGCTCCCCGTGTCATATGTCCGTGTTATAGGCGATTGTTGGCCTCCCTCAGCAAGGTGGTACCCTGTCCAGTCTCTTTCCACCCCCCTAGGCCGCTTCCCAAGGTACGGAGGGTGCTTCACCACCTTGGCCTTCTCACCTCAGACCTGTGAAACCAGAAAGCCACTCAGATGCTTGTCAGTGACATGGGCCGCTTTCATGACTTCAGAATGATGATTATGTATGGGAACATCTGAAATGGAATCTGTTCAGCCAAAATAGAACAGACTTTACCAGAAGTGTCTTTCCTCTCAGTCTTTCAGAGAAACTGTTGTATAGGGAAGCTGACTCTGAACACCTCCTTTGGAGACGTTAATAGTGCAGTTAAGAAATACTTGCAACTTTGGAGTTTCAGATCTCCACCAATTTCCCCACTGGTTCACAGATAGTCTGAGTGTGGGAGAAAACCCCCAGGAGGGTTTCCTAGGGGATGGCTTGTCCCCGCCCCACCCTGGTGAAACCACATGCTAGTAAAATAGAGAAGTGTGGCAGTGTGTTACATCACAGGAAGAATTGTGTTAGGAAGTCTCACGGGATTTAAAAAAATTATTGTACCCTCTGGAAAAGTTGAACGCGTTATCTCTTTGTTGTTGTTAAGTGCCATCGAGTTGCCTTCGACTCATAGCCTCCCTGTATAGTCTTCTATCGTAGGTGGAGGGAAAAAATATCATTTTACTGTTTGTAAAAAGCAAGTTAGAAATAAGTTGAGAACTGATTTTCATTACAAAACCCAACAAATTTTATGGACATATTTAAAAGTAGCTAGAATACTGCAGTGAGCCCACTGCCATCACCAAACTTCAACCCAGTCTTGGGCAGTCTGTCCCCACCAGTGCCCACTCCCTAACTAGTTCAGGGTAAAACCCAGATATCTTTGTATCTGCATGTCCCTTGGAATATCACTCTAAAAGTTAAGGCTGCTTCCTTCAAATAGCACTAATTACAATAGTTATCTTTATAAAAGCAGTCCATACGTGCTAGAAAAATAGAGTTATCACTGGAAGTAGAAGCCAGAAGTCACTCATAATCCAGCTATCCCGAATAACGACTGTTTCCATTTTGTTGGTTTTCTTTATGTTGTTGTTGTTAATGCTGTCCAGTGGGTTCTGATTCATAGCCAGCCTGTGTAGGGATTCTGTTTGAGTTGCCAACCTTGTAGTTAGCAGTCTAATTTCTAAAAGTTTTTGCCCTTTTCTCTGCCTTATGAGTTAAGCTGGTATTGTCAGACTACTGTGTAGGAAACACTTTCTCTTTTGTAGAGAAAAAGATATATATATATGTGTGTGTGTGTGTGTGTGTGTGTCCACACACACACACACACACAATTTTGTATAGATATACTATGGGATAGCTATTCTCTATGGAAGGATCCATGACAGGGTTTGTTTTTTTTCTATGCCAACTACTTTTAATTTCTAAAAGTTTACCTTTTCAGAAATAAGTTACTTGAAAATATTCAGCAGGTATTGTTTAGTGTTTACTTTATGCAGAGCAAGGTTGTCTACCTGTATGGGAACTAAATTGTTAATGATTCCGGCATGTGATTTTTGAGAAGATTTCATCCCTTCTTTTGATGATGTGCACGTTTCTAAAGCAGCATTATAGCAAAGGGAGTTTTCGAGGCTCATCGGAAACTTTTTGTCAGCTCTGCCCTTAAACACTTATTTCTCTAGGGAAAAGGGAAGCATCACCTTAGAAAATTTCTGTTATATTTTACGTCTAGAAATCCACCAGTAGGAACTTAAAATCCAAACGTATTAGGCAAAAAAGACCAATTAATTAAAATAAATGGAGGAGAAAAAGAATGAAACACCTTACCGACATAAACTAGGATCAGACGGATTGCCAGTCCCCGGGAGACCTTGCTTCTGTTGGCGGTCCCCATCTCTGTGTGTTCACATGCGGGAGCATATGATGGGACCAAGAGCAGCTTTTTGAGAAAAGAAGAACTTGAGAGAGGAACTCTTACTAAAGGAACCCCAACCAGGAACCTTTTGAAATTGTGTAAAGTTTGTTGTAACCCAGTGTTACCATTTAAAGTTGAGATTTTAGCCTGGAGCACATTGCTAAATGGGCGCATAGGTTTTTTTTTGTTTTTTTTTTTTACAAATCTTCATAGATGTTCGATGTTGTGAGTGACATTTTGATGAACGTGAAGTGTGCATTTCCATTGAGGAGGATTATTTGACAGAGAATTCACACTTAACATTCCCAGAGCGGTTCAGCCATCATCAGTTGGGTACCTCCTGGGTCCCTTCCTACCTAGTGAGGACCAGTAACTGTGGAGACTGAGCCGAAGCAGATGGGAGACATGATCGTACAACAAAGAGATAAATGGCATGCCATGAACTAATTCTGCCCCAGTTTGAGCGTGAGGAGCCCCTTCTAATGTGTGGGTCTTCTCTTCTGCCCTACACCCACTGAGGCTTTACCAGTCAGCTGCTGCTTTGCGAGAGGGAGTTGATTGAAAGGAGTTAGTATAGTTCACAGAGTCACAGGTAGGACCGTAGTAGAATCTATCTGGAATAAGCCAGGAGGAATGCCCCCAAACACAGTAGAAACCTCTCAAGAGCAAGCACACTTTGGCTACCAAGCACCAGCTGCCAAACACTGTCATGGACCCAGCACCACCATCAGTATCACTCAGCTCTGCCTTTCAGCGTCGTCTCCCTGGGAGAGACTCCCCTGGGAGTGGCCTGTACAGCCCCCCGGCTCTGGGGCATCCGCTCCTCATCCCAGGTCTGGATTTAGTTAGCAAAGCTTCTTCCTTCGGCTTCACCTCCAACCAAGACTTTGGGGGATCCCTCAGACACAGGCAGAGGGTCCAGGTCCTGACCCACTGGAAACAATAAAATCTTTCCAACGTAGTGAGTTGGTTTTTCTTGGAAGCTGTTATTTATTTTCTCACTAGTAGAAAGTTATTCCTAGTCTGACTTTTGTCGCAGTTTAAGTATATGTGTATTTTGCACATCGCCGTAACATCTCAAAGTATATAGCATATACATCACCTATTATCTTTGTGGAGTCCCTAAGATTCGCAGCTACGCACTTGGCTCCTAGCTGAAAGGTGGGCAATTTGAACCTACTCCAAAGTGCCTTGGCCGATAGACCCGGTGGTCTGCTTCTGGAAGGTCACGGCCTTGAAGACCTTGTGGAGTAATTCTGCTCTGCACGGGTGGAGTTGCCTTGAATTGGAATTGACCCCACAGCAACTAATGACTGTGTATCTGTAGTTCATGCTTGATTTATTTGTATTTAAAAAAGTTTTTATTGTATACTGAGTGAGTGAAGGCTTACAGGACAGATCACCATTTTTAATTCAACAAATTATATTGTAATGATTACAGTCCCCTCCATGTACCCTTAGCCAAAAGTATTTACCTTTATTAACTTTTTAAAAAAAAATGTACACATACCACATTGTGGATATATATTCGTTTAAATGTCCAAAGGGCACATTTTGTAAGCCAGCCTCCTGCCCGTGGGCACACTGCCTTTCTCAGTCCCTGGGCCTCGAGTCCTCTGCTGTTCTGTCTCTCTAGGCCATCGCCTCTGCCGCCATCTCTGTTGTCACAGCTTTTCTGGTTAGGATCTCTCCTTCTTCTCATGTTCTTCCCTCTTGATGGTCCTAGGGTGTCCAGTTCCTGAGATGCCAGGTTAACGGCTCTCCTTTTTTACTTTCACCTCTTCTGCATTTACAGTTGTGACAATCGCCATTAGACCTGAAAACAGTTACTCGCAATTGAATCATAATCCTATCTTCCTCATCACCAGACCCAGATGGACAAGAGAAAAACTGTTCAGTAGGGTTTCTGTCTTACTGCCCTCATTCTGACCCTAAGCCAGACACTTCATGCCTTTATAAGCCCCCAGTTTTGGTAGTCAAAGTCTAAGTTGCTCATCCTTATCAACCCAGTGTACGCTGGAGACATACTTGATCCTTGATATGGAGACTCCTTCCCTATTCAGTTGGAATCTTGGGCAGCCTCATCCATAATCAAGGGTCCAGTTGATCAGGTTGTGCTCCCTGTAGCATACTTCTATATCTTCATCTGATCGAATTCTGGTCAGCAAGGTATCCACGCTAGGTCAAATGGGTATTATCTGTAAGTCTGGGAGTTCTTGCACGCCTCCCCCCTCTTCAGACTAGCTGATTGCTTCATTCTTAACTCTAGCCCTCCGTGACTAGGTCAGTGCCCTGGGGCTCTGGAGTTCACATGTCTCCCTGAACTTCAAACCAGCCAGCCCTTCCTCTTCTCTCTGTCATCTCAAGGTCATCGGACATCTCTGGGCCATGGCCAGTCTCAGCCTATGTCTTCTTTGCTGCATTTCCCCTACTTCCACTCACAGGTTGACCAGGACGGTCACCAGCGATTATACAAGACTGCTTGTGTGTTCCCTTTGAGTTTCAGTCTTGTAAGGGGGTGTACCCTGATGGACTGATTTTTCTTGCCTTGATGGCTCAGGATAAATATCTTGCTTGGTATTGTCACAACCAAACAGTCTGCTTTTTCATATGCTCCCTCCCCATTGATCTTTCTTTCAAGCAGTATCTTCTGTTCCCCTAGCCTTTCTGGGTTGGCCTGCATGCATGTCTTTTCCATTAGGAATATCCCACCCCTGAAGGCTCTGGGTGGGGCTTTGTGTATGTGAATTTGAAGACCCCCCACCTCTGGTATCAGCTACCCAGAGGTTTGAGAACAATTATAAGGAGCTCTGGTAGCATAGTGGTTACGAATCGGGCTGTGAACCTCAGGGTCAGCAGTTCGAAACTACCAGCTGTTCCATGGGAGAAAGATACGGCGTTCTGCTCCCGTTAAGATTGACAGCCTCGGAAACCCTGTACAGGGTCGCTATGAGTAGGAACCGACTCCACGGCACTTAACAACAACAACATAGGGACTTAAGTTAACTCTTTGAAGAACTGCTTGATTGACGTCTGCCTTTGGTCCTGGAGTTGAGTGTGTAGGAAATTGTTCTGTAAAGGTAAAGAGTGGGTCAAATTCCTTTGAGAAACACACTGATAATTGATTTTTATGAATTAAAATCATTTATGAGCTAATCCCTACTTTTAGCCTGGTAAACCTCTTTAGGTGGTAAGTTGCATTTTCATACATTTTTCCTACAAACATCTTTAACTTTCTGTCATCCTGTGACAGTGTTTTGAGCCCATTGACCATTACACCTCACTCAGTTTAACAATATCCAAACCCCACCGCCATTGAGATGATCCCACCACACAGCAACCTCTTGAGTGGGCTCGGAGATAGTAAATCGCTCAGAGCAGATGGTGGGTTTGAACCGCCAATATTGTGGTTAGCCAGCCCTGTGCATAACCCACAGAGCCACCAGGGCTGCTTCAGTCCCTCTAAGGGAGGGTAGTATGGTTTTGCATACCTGCATCAGAGGTTAAAAAAAAAAAAAAAAGATCAAGTACAGACTGAAAATTGTTGAAAGTTGCTCAAACATGCAAGATTAAGGAGTATCACCTACCTCAAAGGCGGAGCCCTAGTGTGGCGCTGGAGGATACGTACTCGACCATCAGCTTGGTTTGAGCTCAAATTCACCAGCCGCTCCTTGGAAACCCTATACAGGGTCTCTGTGAGTTGGTACCAACTTGACGACACTTAACAACGTGCATCAACGTGAGACATTCATAAAAGGTCCCGGTGCAGAGCTCCTCTCTCCCCTCCTCAAATAACTTGTTTGTTCAAGAATTTAACTTAATGTTTTTATTTGTTTTAGTAGGTGGCAAGTGGGAGAAACCATCAGAAATTCTGGAAATCAAGGGACAAAACTGGGAAGAACAAGTGAATAGTCTGCCGGAGGTTTTCAGAAAAGCTGGCTTTGTGATTGAAGCTTTCACCAGACTGCCGTACCTGTGTGAGGGCGATATGTACAATGACTACTATGTTCTAGACGACGCTGTCTTTGTTCTCAAGCCAGTATAAACACACGGAGTGCCAAGTCTTCCGAGTCCGCCCCTACAATGTCCCCTCCTCAAGAGGGTCTGTGTTCGCAATTCTGTGAAGGGGTGGGCCTTTGGCGACTGCTATTCAAGTATCATGTAGGAATTTAAAAAGCCAAAATACGAATTATTTCTTTGTAGTGTGTAAAAGGAATGTTTTTTAAAAAAAACAAAAACCCAACTCTTGGAGGATTTTTATCAGCTCTTCACTCAGTAATGCAGGTCACACTCCAATTAGGATGGAAGATATTTTTTATACTTAATTGCAGTGGGGACGCATTCCCAGACAAAGCAATAGTCATGACTTCACATGGGACCAATACATGGATTGTTCTCAATAAAATGGAGACTGGCAATAAAACTGTCCATTCAATTCCAAATATTGGTTCTGAGGCATTGCCACTGATAATTCTTCCATGTTTAGAAACTCTTTCTCTTTGTCATTATTCAAGAAAAATGTTTTTAATCATGCTAATAAACTTTTTTGGAGATGACTTTGGCATCATGTTTGAGTTAATAAGACTCCCGTAGCATTTTCAGTTGTTCTGGCTTCAGCGATTGCCATTGGCTTCAGCAATGCCCAAACAGTAGCAGATGACTTGAGTGCTGGGATGAGGTGGTGATTTCATCTGACCTCCTGAGAGGTCCACACAGAGATCCACCAAGCTGATGAAGCATGGGGAAGAAAGCTGATGGACACAGGCAATCGAGACACCCCTAAAACAAGAACCACCCCATTCAGGTCTAGTACTTCAGGGCCCACCCCTCACTCCCTATTTCATGTTGTTTTGAGAAATGCGAAACACTGGGTTCTGACTGTGTGATCGCTTATGTCCGATGTACTCCAAACTTTCCTTTTCTGGACAATCTCAGGTTCTCAGAATTGAAACATTCAGTTGTGTCTGCCAACAAAATGC